AGAGTATTTATTCCTATCATACACACAGCAGGCTGGTGTGATGTTGATAAGGAAGAGCTGATGTTAGATACTACCAAGATTCACAAACTTGTCAGCATTTTGGAGGATGCAAACTTTCCTCCTCTAACTAGCAGTATCTCCAGACGGAGTTCTGCCAGCTTCCTCTCCTGAGTTACTACTTGGATTCTTCTTTCCATCCTCAACCATTAGGTGTGGAGATATTGATTCTGTGTATATGATCAGTACCTCCATAAGAAATCAGATAAATTTTCATCTGCCTTCCAGGCCCTTGGTTTTGCTATGTACAGCGAGAAGGCTCAGTCTAGCTCACCAATGCACATAGCTAACTGTTCATTCATTGTCATGTACTGCCTGACCCATATGACCCATATACTCAAAAACTCTGGTTTAATCTATCCTTGAGATTCTGTTGAAGTGAAAGAAAAGGACTCCTTTTCTCTTTCCAGTTTGTATTCTCTTGCAGTTCCTTCTATTTTTTGGTTTAATTTAATAAAAAAAAAAAATAAAAAAAATTAAATTTTTGATTTAGAAGCCTTTTTGTAAAGAGTTCTTCCTGTTCACTAGTGCCTGACCTTTTTATAGTAAATATAGACACATCTTCTCACTGTAGTTTCGGAAATCTATATGTATTCCAAACATCTAGAAAAAACAAGTTATGTTTGCAAATCTCACCAGTATCCCTTCTATTTTCTCAGGATGCAAAGGGTTGTAAATAGGTTGGCTAAACTACTGAAACCTGGAGGAATGTTGCTGTTTCGAGACTATGGAAGATATGATACAGCTCAACTTCGTTTTAAAAAAGGTAATTCCTGAATGCTTTTATAGTTCACTGTTCTTTTTTTTTTTAAATGAAAGTGACATATCTTTTTTCATTACTGCTCTAATTTCTTAGGTCATTGCTTGTCAGAAAATTTTTATGTACGAGGAGATGGAACCAGAGTATATTTCTTTACCAAAGGTATGAAATGGTATAGTTTATTGAAAGGATTGAGTGTCTCTCAAGATTATTTAGTTATAAAAGCTCATCTTAGAACAGAAATTTAAAGGTTTTATTGTTTGGGGTTTTTTTTGATGTTCTGCTTTTACAAAGCCCAAAGCTAACTGTTGCAAGAAAATAATTTTCTTTATGTATACCCTTGTTGCAACTGGAGTCCTGCAAGATTGCATGCAAGCATCGCTGGAATTTCTCTTTGTCCAAGCATCTTGTGTCTGATGATATCCTCAAATTCTATTGTTTAAAGATGTACTTGATTTCTTTCTTAAAATTGTGATAAACATGTTTGGAAGGACATTTGGTAGCAGTGGTCTAGTATTTTGTTCTGCTATGTTGGTGAGTCTGAGCTGTGAGACTGCTCTTTCTTGATTATGGATAGTCCTGCTCTTCGCATGACTCCTCACTTGGTTCTGATGGCAGTCAGCTTAGACTGGTGTATTTTATCCCATCTACTGGAAATTGTGAGAGTGAGCATCACAATACTTTTTTTTAAACTTTTTTTTTTCTTTTTACCCTGTGTAACCTGGACTGTAAGCAATAGAGATGGATCAGGGTTTATCCCAGCCCGAGTAATTTCAGGAGTCAGAAGGAAGATCTGGGACATCTATGGGAAATCACTTGTATTTAAAGAGCCTTCTTAGTTTTTAAATGTCTTGTTTTGTGCTTACTCATGGCAAACAAGCTTAAAGTTTTGCAGTGATGACTGACAAGAAGGAGATAATGATGTTGGCATAAATCTGTGGATTGTCATTTGGCAAGTGAAATAGCTGTATCTTGATAATACGCGAACAGTGACCAAATGGTATGCATTTGTTTTCCTTGAGTCTGGCATACTGAACCCTCTGAAGAAAGGGGATTTATGAATGCCATGAGTAATAACCCATGTAGTTTGGGCCTCAACGTAACATTTTTTACTGTAATATAAATCGAGAGCTGTGAAAGTGAATTTCTAACGAAAGACTACTTACAGGCAGTTTCCTTGATCTTGAAAATCACAAACCAGATTTAGTTCCATCTTTGGTTGAACTGCAAGTTGTTAATTACTACATTCTATAAATGTCTTTTTTTTTTTTTAATTACAATAATTCTTCATATGAGAAACAGATGAGGTATGGAACATGTTCAACTTGGCTGGATTAACTGAAGTACAGAATTTGGTTGATCGGCGATTACAAGTAAACAGGAAGAAAAAAGTGAAAATGCAGCGAGTTTGGATACAAAGCAAGTTCCAAAAACCATTGCTTCTGTCTCTGAATAATCCTGAAGAAACCACTGAAAGGCACCCATATAGATAATTGTACTGTGAACTCCAGAAACTGAAGCAAATTTGGGTATGTATGTTTCCTATAAATCTTGTGTTAGCCACGGAAAAGGAGAAATATATTGAACTGAAAACCTTTCCCTGATTTCTTTTGTAAATGTATGTGTGTGAAAATGATCTGGGGAAAAAAAGAAACACATTTCTGACTTCTGTTTCATATGCAAGAAAGGGATGTGCATTAATCTAGTCATAACTGTGTCCAGGCACTATTTTACTTCCTTGAATATGAATAGTCAATAAGTATTAGCATGTATCTTGTTCCTGTTGAAATTCACAGTACCTAAAAAGTTTTAGACTGAAGCACAATTGTGTCAGAGATTTAGAGAAACAGTGTATCTGTTCTCACTATCATTACAAGCTGTGCTGTGTTAATTTCTGAGTCATGTCTCTTTTAACTACCATGTGTTTTGCAACTGCACTTCCTCTTCGGGGGGAAATTTCTTGGTGCATAAATAATGAAGACAAAATCTCTTTTTGATTTGCATGTAAGTTATCATTTCATGCTAACTGCATGTGATATGCCTGGGTATCAGATTAGTCAGTGATTGGCATCCTCTGCTGTGGCTGCCTTACTGCTCTCAAGTCTCGACTTTCCATCTACATGCTCATTAGAAACACGCCAAACTCAAGTTTGTGTAACAACTTAGTGATACGCACATTAAAGTGTCGTAGGTTGTGGACTGAACATCATGTAGAAAGGAATTACCAAAATGCCAAAACTGCTGAAACCGAATAGATAACATTTGCCTGGATAAACACAAGCGTTGTTTGAATGATACGTCAGATACACCAGAGGGAGGAGCAAAAAGAGTTGTCCAGAGTACGTTTTTTTATAGAGTGATGTAATCACACTAAAATGGTGATGTACATGGTAGCTGAGATATTTTTGTTGTTTATAGAGAGAGGTTGGTTTCTTAAGGCTTGAGTCTTAGAAAAAAAGACAAAATGTATTTGTGTTAGAATCATAGAATCATAGAATCGTTAGGGCTGGAAGGGACCTTCAAAGGCCATCTAGTCCAACCCCCCTGCAAGGAACAGGGATATCTCCAACTAGATCAGGTTGACCCTGTAGAGAGACAGTAAAAGGACAGGACTACGCTAGTACATCAAGTACTTCTGAGAAGAAAACCAAAATGCAAACACTGTTTTCAGATGCAGACCATGATACTGAGGCTGTTGACCTATTTAAAGATGACACTTCTGTGATTTAAATGTAATTTTACAATCACTTAGCCACAAGGAGGAGAGGACAAGAAACAGATGAATGAATAAAATAAATCCCTCTTACTTCAACAAGGATGTAGAATGCATGTAATCTATAACGTGGGTAATATTGAGTGTCATTAGTATAGCAACACTCTCAAAGTCTCTTTTCTTGCTTTTGTTTTAGTCTGAAGGGTAAGCATGTCACAGCTGACAACCCATTTTTTTGCAAGTTGTTAGCTGCTAAGCTACGTAGAACTGATTGTCTTCTAGAAAAAAATAGTCTAAATTTAGATGCTAAGAATCTTCATCCCCTTTGATAAGATGAGAGATCTGCTTAATTTCTATAAACGCAAATCTGTTTCAAGAATGAGGTGCAATAAGGAGTCTTTGAAGGTAGGATCTGATCCTGCATTTCTGGTGTATACTAAACTCCCGTTAGAGTAAGATACTGTTTTATGAATTAAGTGGCTTAGGAAGCTTTGGTTAGCAATAGCATTATTGTAACCTGCCATAAAACTCTTGTGGTATAAATCAAAGGTGAAAACATAGCTGTTTTTCTTCAAGCCCTAGGTCTTAAGAGACTATAACATCTGCATGGGAAATGTAAATAAATATCCACTTATATTTTAATTAAGTTGCTACCCTGTGCTATTAATCGCGACTTTGGAGTATGCATAACTCTTAGTCTAGTACAAAGTGTTTTCAGTTGTAGAATTTTCCAGGGGCCTGATGGTGATGATAAGCTCTTGAGCATCATGCAGTCTTATTCATGTGTGATGTAGATTTTCCATGTGTAGAGGCTAATGAAATGTTTGCTTTTGCTCTCACACCGATATGTTGATTCTGGCAAGGTTTTAATATGCTATGTTGTTAGTTTAACAAAAATGTGACATCAGAAGAAATCAAACTCTGAATTCTCATATGGCCTTGAGCAAAATTGGTTGTTTCTCTTCCATACCTTACAGCATAAGTGTTGGCTGCCTCTTAGAATTATGGTGCCTGTTATAGATAAGTAATAAGATCAGATACTATTAATAAGTGTAGAATATGCACTGTAAAGTGAACTGTAACTAGTCTGAACAGTTGTAAGATTGATAGAAGGGGAAGTGGACAAAGACATCATTCCCGATAAGAACTTTTGAATCTGGGTAGGACTTTTTGTATTTTGACTTTGTGACATTCCAAGTTTTCAAAAATCAAGGACATGTGTTTTAAAATACTTTCAAATTATCTGTATTAGTTGGGAAAACTAATATCACAATATTGACAAAATAAAAGCAAGTAGAACTACTGAAATGAAAGAAAGGAGATGCAGAGATGCAGTTTAAAATGGCTTGTGGTTAATTAATTTCTGGGGGACAGAGAAACTAGGATATTGCAAACAAAGTGTGTCCAGTATAGAAAAAGGCTGCAAATTTCACCTTTGAAATCCAAAGTTACTTCTTTAATCAGATACATACCTAAATTCTCTCTTTCTGTAAATTTATAGAAGTGCAGTAAGCATTTTAATGGTTAATTGCAAATTATTTTGTTGGTTGGTTGGTTTTGATGGGGTTTTATGTTCAGCATGATTTCCTGTGCTGGTAAAGCAGACTTATGAATGTATACAAATGGCAATTAGAGAAAGATAATCTTGTTAGAACTGAGCTTTGGCTTCATTGGCTTTGGCTTGCTTTATCAATAGCGTTTGCCTTTTGCCCATCTCCACTGGTATTGCATTATACTTCCGTACAGGGATGCATGAGAGTAGTATTTATCGGTTTAGACCTTGCTTAGTTTTTAAGCAACTACAAGACAGCTATAAAGTAAAGGAAGTGACAAACCTTCTTTCCTACACTATTTCTGAAGTATCTAGTCAATAACAATTAACTCATGTAAAAAACTTTGATTTTTTTTTTCCAGCAAAACCAAGGCAAGTGCTTGTGCCATATCTACAAATCCATTGAATCTGAGGAGGACAACTAAAATGCAGGGCAGACGGGGAGACAGCAGGAACTCTAGTGAAAAGTTTCTTGTATTTGAAATTACTGTTTCTGTTTTGTCCTTTGCTTGTGACTCGGCTAATCTGCAGATTCTGCTGTTTAGTATTGACTAAAAATTTGTAACAAACCATCCTCAACTTTGTATTAAACACCAATGGAAATCACTTAACATAAATTCATATCGATTTGTGGTGTGATCTTTATTCGCTGCTCCAGTGTGCTCTTTGATCTGTTGACATATCCCTCATTTCCCTTTTTTCCTGTTCATAGTAGGCAATTAAGCAGTTTCCACAGGAGCTATATACACAAACATTTGCAGTAAAGTTTGCTGGCTGGTTTATTTCTAAGATTGAAGCAAGAGAGTTTTATTTCCTCTGTGTGGAACAGATTGCTTTTCTTTTTTGTGTGAATGCAATGAATTGTATAGATTCTAAATTAATTAGTGATATTTTCTATATTTTTAAATTATTTTAAACCAAATTTACCTTAGAGTATCTGTTTGTAATGGCAGTGATAACAGTAGGCAGTTCATACTTAAACCATTTCTTCTTCATAGCGTGTCTTCATAATGGATGATTGAACAACCTTGCAAATAAACCATATATATATATATATATATATATAAAAACCACCCCAAAATATTAAACAAGGGTGTTGTTAATAATACAGGTCACTTTACAGATACTGAAAGCTAAACTTCTCTCCATGTTTGGAACAAAGATTGGACACGAGGGATGTTTTTACATCAGTTATGTGCCAGTTGCCCTCCTGTACAGTCAGGAAGAACTACATGGGTTGCCATGGGCATCTTAGCAGGTTTTTCATCTTACCTGCTGTTCCAAGCATGATCTACATGGCTTCAAGCAGAGAAGGGAACTTCTCTGTCAAGTAGTGACCATCCTCCACCCTTTGCCAGTACCAAGTAACTAAAAGAACAACTTGCCTGATTTGAAAGCAGAAGCTATACAGGCTGGAGGGGAGGAAGGTGAAGATGCAGCTCAAAGGCAGACAAGAGAAGGAGCAAGTGTTTCTTCTGGAAACTGGGGTAAGAAGGAAGCTTGGATGGACTGACAAAAGAAGAAGAATGAAATGCAGAACTGAACATGGAACTGAGGAAGAGAACACCACAGGCACCATGTAGGGAGAAGTGTAACAGGAGACAATGGGGCAGGGTGAGGACATTGGGCCTGGGAACGAGTGAAATAAAATGAAGAAGGCAAGAGGAAAAAGAGGACTGATCTGTCACAGGAATAGAGTGAAACTTGGGTAAACAAAGAAACTGGGGTAAGGATTGGAGTGGAAAGACCTATCTTCAAAGTCTGTTTCTCCCAAGTGATAGCGTATTTTCACATCTTAGCGAAATATTATAGGCTTTGTCTTTCATCCATATGTGCACAATGTATTTCAATTTATTACAAAGATGGAATGTTTCATTTGTTGTAGTTTATATGTGCTATGCACATGTGTTTGCAACAGTGCAGGCAGGTTTATGATACACCTGCTTTTGCTTTTCCCTTGGGGAATAATGTTTTTACCTTCTTCCAAGTAAAACTCTATAGTGAGAGAAGCTACACTCCCGACCTCCTGAGAAGCAAATACAAAAGAATAGCAGAAGTGTCTGCATCCTGATTGTGTTCGATCAAGGTAGGACAATTAAATTTACTCCATATGTTCTGATGTTGTCCCATTTAAATCAAGACCATATCTGCAGATTATCACCTTGAAGTGCCTCCCAGTCTCAGTTTCTGTTATACTTGCATCTGTTCAACAGAATGTAAATGAATTG